TGCTTTGCATGTTTTAGTAATATGTAGTCACTTATTATCATTTAATTGAATTTAACAGTGAAGATATGGTTTGTATGGCTGTGTCGAAAGGTCACTGGCCTCAATAGGGGATAATGTATTGATTTTTCTTGGATTAAGACATTGTAATGGATCCAACATCCATGGTAAACCACGCTTTGGTTGCGTTAAATGTACCTATTATAATCTCTCTGTTGTCTTATGCACATTCATTTCACTCTGATTTAATGCACTCCTCCTTCACAGCATTTAACTGCACGTGCATTTCCACCCTGAGAGACGGCTTTTTGTGTTGCACTGTTTTTGAGCTCTCTTGAGAAATAGAAAGTGCATCTTTGTCACTGTTTTTAGGTATGGTGTAAATTTAGTGTGACAAGCAAGTTATTGCAACTGTTTAAATGGTTAGCTTGTCTGAAACTGTGCCAACTTTGCATTTATGCTTCATGCCAACTTTGCCAGCTGCTTAGGTTGATTTATATGCAATAAATATTGTGTGCATATAAATGTGTGCATATAAATTTACCTGAGTATCTCAGAACATGCACAGAATTATCATATCATATCATATCATATCATTAGTTTTCTGGTCAATAACATTTTTTAAAAATAATTTATTACTTTTATTCAGCAAGGATATTTAATTAATACAGTAAGTGCCAGTAAATCCTTTTATAATGTTACTAAAACATTTCTATTTCAAATAAATGCTGTTTGAACAGTCTATCCATCAAATAATCCCAAAAAAAATGTATCATGGTTTCTTAAAATAAAAAAAAATAAAAAAAGTGGCACAACATTGATAATAATAAGAAATGTTATTGGGCAGTAAATCAACATATTAAAATTATTTCTGAAGGATCATGTGGCACAGAGGAATGGCATACTAATGACATCTTATTATATATTATATTATATTATATTATATTATATTATATTATATTATATTATATTATATTATATTATATTATATTATATTATATTATATTATATTATATTATATTATATTATATTATATTATATTATATTATATTATATTATATTATATTATATTATATTATATTATATTATATTATATTATTTGTTACATATGTTACCTCCTTTTATATTATATTATATTATATTATATTATTTGTTACATATGTTACCTCCTTGTTTACAGCTTAAAATCAGATAAGGTTAACTCTTGTTTTTCTTCATTTCTTAACATTTGTGATTGTCAAGCTAGCAGTGGATGGAAAAGTAATTAATTAAAATGCAAATTAAATAAAGAACAATATTCAGTGTAGAGAACGACACAGTAACAATGCAGATGTTCCAGAATTTCCTTATGTTCCACGGCTGCAATATTGCAGAATATCAATATGGAAGAGACAATGGAAATTTTAGTGTTTGTGTTCAACCTCAGCAATGCGGCAGATAGAAATAGCCAGTGCTCTGTCTTTGAACCAATAAATTTTTCAATACAGTTTTTTTGGCTGCATTTCATTAATGTAACTGGTGTCTCATAATGAGGCATGACTTTTGTACAAATGCGAGACAGAGGCCAGTAGCATGTCTCACACCAAATGTGTGAGTTGGCAACCCTGTCTAAAGTTTTGTGCTGTGGGCTCCTTAAATAATTAGTGCTCAGTTGTTTCAGTAATATAGCTCAGTACACGTTAAACCATTATTTATGCTTAACAGAAGGTACGGTTGTGCGTGTTTATCTTGACAGTTATTTTAATTGGTTAAAGCCTCATACTCATTTGATGAGCAAACGAACTTGCCAGTTATTTAAAGGAAAACATCTGTCAGACTTTAATACAAGTTCACAGACACACAAACAACACTTCCTTATTAAATTTAACAGAATGAAAAAGAAAGAAAATTTGACACAATGCAGTTTGTATTAGGGATGCATGATATATTGATGGGCATATTGGTAGAAATGTGACTTATGTTCTCTTATCACTCCAATAAATAAAATAGGCTGGAATTTTTAAGCCAATAAATCAAATCAATTGCTTCTGGGACCCCTCATGTTATTTAGTTACATTTAGTTAATGTAATTGTATGTATTTAATATTAATCAATTAAATGTTTTATTTATTTATTTAATAACATTTTGTATTCATTTATTTATTCCACACAGGCATTTTGTTTGTTTGTTATATTCTGAGTACCATATGAATATGTTTGTAGAAGATGTTTTTATTATTATTATTATTATTATTATTATTTTAACTTCTATAAAAGAAAATTGTCCATTATATAACTTTTTTTTTATTCATAGTATGCCTACAATTGTTAAATGTTTGTGGCATAAAGGATTTAAAAGCAGTTTTCTCATTTAGCACCTAGAGATCTGGACTTCTATGTTTTTGTTTGTTTGTTTTTTAGATATTTGCCAAAGCTTTCATATTGGTACATCCAGGGCTGTATTAACCATTGGGCTAGGCGGGGCTGAAGCCCCGGGGCCCGAGCAAGGAGGGGGCCAGTGATTGGCTGTGGGGTAAATTGACTGGCGCGCCGATCGCCAAAGCCACCACGCCCCCCACTTATTAGCGCTGTTATTTAGTTAAGCCTTTCCGTAAATTCCATGCATTACCATTTGAGATTGAAGTGTAAAGTCTGAATTTGGTTTACCAATCAAATGCATTTAATTCTATATTTGACATGTGAACGATATGTGCACGTATCTATCAGGTGATCGCTGCCCAGTATGTCTGCATTCACCTCCACTCTTCACTTACACAGTTCTGGAGTAATTTGGAAATGGTCGCGCAAAGAACAATATTCGATAAGTAAAAATGTAGCAATTCTGAGAGAGAGGGGCTCAAAAAATGAAAAACTTCAAATACAAACAACAGAAGAAAAAAAAACATAAGTTAGTCAGTAAAATCCCCAGCTATCAGGTTATTTTACTAAAGCTGATGATGCAGTGGAAGTAACTTCAATCAACTGTTGTTGGAACAGCAAGTGAACCGGGCACATGGAGCAGAAAAAAAAACACAGACAGTCCACACAGATTTTAGGTTAGTTTGATTATTAACTGGATTTATATTGTTTTTGTGTTTGAACAAACTATATTCATTTAAGGGTTGG